TTAAAGATGATGGTAAGCAAGCTTTGGTAGTTAGATATACTGTACATCTATTTATTTCATTTTCTCATTATACAGAATATCCAATGATTGTTGGTAATAGTCCCTCCTTCCAGCTCCTCTCATCAGTTGATGCTGATCCTCCAGTGTTTAGTTTATCATTTAATATCATGAATAGATCACCAACAATAGTCACTTGCTCTGTTGATAATGGAAGCCAGTTTAATGTAACTGATAGTGATCTGATACATACAGTAATAACAAACACTAATGATAATATTGAAGTACAAGTATTAGCAATGTTTAGAATGAGAATGTCTGGCCTATATGCCTGTTCTGTTACTACTGACAGAATTACAACGACACCTTTAGTATCTACTGGTATGACAATGAGGAATATTACTGGTAAGTGTAATTATATACCTATTCCTTGATCATATTAACTTATGTCTTTCTTTCTAAAGTAACGGGATCTCCATCAAACTTGGTCTATAACAGAGATAGTCTTCTCTCAGTCACACTAGGCTGGTCACCCTCAGCAGTGATCAGTGCTACTCCTCAGTATCATGTCTTTGTTAATAGCAGTAATGGTATTATTATGAATGACACTGCAAATACTATGCTGTCTTTCTCATTACGTCCTGATGATGAATATAATATTAGACTAGTAGCTACTGGTGAAGACTTACCAAGTGAAATAATCACTGTTACTGTTCCTCAAGGTATGATCCATAATGTATTTTGATTATTACTTTGATAACATTTTCATTTTCAGTTGTGAGTATTGATGTACAAGGGCCAGTTATGATGCCATTGGATCATTCTTCTTCCTTTTCATTAACCTGTACATTGACATTAGCTCTTGAAGTGAATAGTGCTACAGTACAAATGTACTGGGTAAATCCTGATCTCATTCCCTTCAATTCTACAACTGATGGAGGCATAGCTTTGAATACTTCAGAGCCTACAATGATATCAAGTGTTGACAGTGTTGTATATACACTTACTCTTAACTTCAGTTCATTGCAAGCATCACAAGTTGGAGAATACATTTGTGGAGCTTCACTGAATGATGGTACTGATACTGTTAATGTAACATCAAATTATTCTGTATCTGTTCAAGGTAAGTAGATCTATTAATAATTCACATTACTTTTTATATTTTTTATACAATGTAGTACCTTCCCCTGTGGTCACATCTATTGTTAATACAACAGGACGTATTTTTGAGAGCAATGATATTCAGTTATTGTGCTTCGTCACTATTACTCCACTGGATGTTGAACCTAATGTTAACGTTAACTGGTTTGGACCTAATGGACTCATTACAATGAATGATGCTAAGTATAGTGTTAGTACTGGGGAGATCAACTCAACAACTAATGGAAGTAGCTTAACATTCACTGCATCTCCATCAGATAATGGAACTGATTACTATTGTACTGCTAGTGTTGGATCTGCTAGTAATGTGAACAGGTTTGAACTGATTATACCATCAGATACTGTTACATCAACTAATAATACAGTCATCGTCGAAAGTGAGAAATATGCATGTATTTGTTTAAGTAATGATTATTATACATGTAATTCTTTCTCTCCTATTTAGTTGTACCTCTACCAATAGTGTCATTTAATGATGATGGTATTCCAGTAACAGGAGACCCATTCCAGTTAGTGTGTACTGGAACTGCACCAGTTAGTGCATATGTATCAAGTAATGCTACTGTTAGTGTTCAATGGCTTCTTAATGATACTGTGTTTACTGATGATACACTGGAAGGAGTCACTGTTACTAATAGTGGGTCTATGGCCACATTATCATTCAGTTCTCTTAATGCTTCTACTCATGAAAGAGATGATTATACTTGTGTAGCTACTCTTAGTATTCCTGATGTACCAACAACTAAAACAGCAAGCATGATATATAACCTCCAGACATTAAGTAAGCACATGTTTCATTAAAATAATTCTTCTTTCCATTTGTAGCTAATCCTGTTGTCTCTGTATTTGCTAGTCAACCTGTTTTTGCTAATCAGTCATATTCATTAAACTGTACTGTCACAATAGTAGCTGGAGACCTTAGTATAACATGGCTGGATGACAATGGAATTGAGCTCACTGGAAATGGAATGGATTTTAATTTAGCTAATGTTTCTGATACTGTACAAAGATATGATTTGATATTTAATTCACTGGACTATTCAGATATTGGAGCATACACTTGTCAAGCTAGTCTTACTGTTGATAGAGGTAATGTTTCCTTTAATGGATTTGGATCTGCTAATACAACTGTTAGTATAAGAAGTAAGTTAAAATTTACTAGTTTCACCATTTATAACTTCTATTTGCTCATACAGTACCTGTACCACAAGTATCTATTTCTCCTGATGGTAATTCTCCTTTTATTCGTGGAACTATTAGAACTGTTAGCTGTTCTGTTGTTTTCACTCTTCCTTTACCTACTAATCCTAACGTCTCATTTACTGTCTTCAAAGATGATGTTCAACTATCATTTGAGAATAGTTCCAGACTAATAGCAGTTCAGACTGGAACTACTGGTGCTCTTACCTTTCAACCACTCAATTTCTCTGATGCTGGTAATTATACATGTATTGCTACAGCAAGAGATGATGATGATGACCCATTAATAATACCAAGCAGTGCTTCTGATGAATATATTGCTACTGTACAAGGTAATGTACATGTACATGTAGTGTAAAATACAAATGATTGTTTTACTAATATTTTATAGCCATTCCTGTTCCTAATATCATATTCACTACTACTACTGGTAGATCACTGGGAGAGGGTTTAACTCTTAATTGTACAGTTGATGTGCTAGATGACCTATACAATATTAATGTTACTAGCAGTATAGTAAGAAATGGAGAACTGATTACTAGTGCTACTGGATCTGGTGATACTACAGCAATGATTATGATTGATTCATTAAGGTCGTCTGATGCTGGAGACTATCAATGTATTGTTAATATCACTCAACCTGATATAGACTATGAATTTAATGGAATGGAAACTGCCCAAGTGATACTTATATGTATGTTGAAATAGTTGAATATGTTTTATTTATTCATTGTTTTTATAGTACCAACTCCTCCAGTTATT